CTGTGCCAAGCTACCTTCATCTCCTCTGCATCCTGCAGTCGTGTCAGATGCTCCTTCTCCTTGTCCTTGAAGCTGACCTCGTGCATTTTTTCTGTTGAAAGGTGGAGGAGACAGTTTTAATTTCAAATGTAAATTTTAGAATTTTAAAATAAATTTTAATTTATTCCAAGAGATAAAAATAAAGATTCTGTTCTAACAATGCAGGAAATAATGAAGAAAGTTTAAACAAACAAAAAAAATTGTTCCCACCTCAGAGAGGGAAATTTCCTTGTGCAGAAATCCAGAATGATTTTAAGGCTGCAGGGTTATAAATTTACACAACCCAGGAGCTTAGCAAAGCCACAAGAACTTCTTTTGATACCTACACATTTTCCACATTAAACTGGAAGGGAAAAATCAAGCAAACCTTAAAAAATTAAGTCAGCTGGGAAAGACACAACTTGTGCACAACTAAGGGAAGCAGCTTTGTTTGGAATGGGGCAGGGATTGTGCAGAGGGACGACTGAAATTTAGATAAATCCTTATCCCAGAATTTTACAGAATATTTATCAAGATTGATTGGTGCTGTTTGGTAAAGGATCTGTGTGGGGGTTTTTACAATTTTTCACATCATTAAAACCCAAAACTGAGTTTTCTAAGGCAGAGATGACGAGCACGAGACCCAAAGTCGTACCTTGAGCGCGTAACTTGGCCAGCTCCTCGTTGAGGGAGTCCTGGGACTCCTCCAGCTGCCTCCTCTTCTGCTCCATGTTCTGCATGTAGTCTGTCAGGGATTTGATCTTTGCCTCGTGCTTTAAAGACAAGGAAATAGCCGTGAGATGGGAACAGCCGCGTCCCAGGAATTCGGGGGAAACCGTCCCACATGAAGGAGGAAAAACGGGAAGATTTCCACATCCAGAGGTGATGACTCAGAGAACTCACAGCAAAATGTCTGGGCAGGAGCTACGAGATCAAAGCAGGCTGTGTTTTTAGAGGCCACACTTGGTAGCCCAATCTGGAATTCAGGCAGTAATCCCAAAACATCCCTGGAAGCTCCTGACTCGGTGTTAAACCAACAGCAGCAGCTTTTTAAAAGCAGCTGGACACCAGCCCTGAGGGGGCTTTGGGATCTTCAAGGTGCAGAAGCTCACATGGACTCTCCACAGCCATCCTGATGGTTTGGTGCTTGCCAACAACCTTCTGAACTAGAAGGGCTCGTGGGTAAATAGAAAACAGCGGAGATTGTAGTGAAAAGCACTCAGTGGAATTAAAATATTTTAATTTGAAGATAAAAATTATGATAGTTTGGATTATTGCATCTTAATTAAAAAGACTGAGTAGAACTTAACAATGACACTCTGCTGAAGGAAAAGGGGCTCTTCCCTGTTCCAGGTTTGCTTGGGATGACTGCTAGGGAATGAAACAGAGGGAATTGGATCAGGTCTTTCCCTTCCCAGTTCCATGCAGGTGAGGTCAGAGCTCCCAGCCCCCCTCCACAGCCATCACTGCCTGTCCCTGCCACATGCTCAGAACCCCTCCTACCCCCTGGATTTCTATCCCAGAAAGTTTTCCATGATGTTTTGTAGCTTGCTGCCTCGTTTTCTCAGCAGCACACCCACAGAGCAGATGCAGGGAGCTCCCCAAAGGTTTGGCTTGTGAAAAACACGGTCAGCAATCTTTTAAAGTGATCCAAGATACAAATTACAGCATCACAGAATCAACCAGCTTGGGAAAGACCTTTGAGATCCACAAATTCCTGGTGAGGGAACCACTCCAGGGAGGAATTTCAGTGCTATTCCACCACACACACTGTGAGACCTCCAGCAGGACCTTGCCAGAGCTCAGGACACAACAAAACGCTGAGGGGGAGGAATGAGAGGAGAGCAAACAGAACACCCAAGAGACAGCAGCACTCCGCTACATCAGGCCCATTTCTCACTCCTGCCACACACATTCCGTGGGGAAGGAGGCTGGGAAGGCCACCAAAGCCTGGGAGAAGGCAGGAGCAGACCCACCTGGGAGATGAGGAGCTGGCAGGCCGCGAGCTCCCTCTCACTGGCGTTCATCTTCCTGTTGGAGTCCATCTGGGCGCTCTCCAGCTGCTTGCTCCGGTTCACCAGCGACTTCACCTCCGACTTCATCTTGCTGATGTAGAGCCTGGCCATGGTGAACTCCTCCTCGATCACCCCGTTCACATCTGCCAACTGAGCACACGGGGATCGCCAGCTGCTCCCAGCACCCAGAGCTCCTCCTGCGCCGGGAACCCGGCGGGACCTTGGGCTGGGATTTGGGGTGGTTTTACAGACCAGGGGACATTTTAGAAAGAGAGTTTGGAGAAGGGGAGAAGAGTGTGAATTATTTCTGAAAACTTAAAGCTTGGAGTTTAATAGTAAACTAAAATATTTAGAGGACAAAAAAAAAAAAATCTGAATTGGGATCTTTTCACAAAGCAAAGAGCGCTTGTTACATTAAGGAGAAAACTTCCTTCAGAATTTTTGGTTTGATTTGTCCTTTTATCTTGAATGTTTTATTTATCTTGTATTTTTCACATTTGTGTGCAAGGATATCATACAGGGATATCATATCCAGGTGTTAGGCTGGAGATCAGGGAAAGGTTCTTCCCCCAGAGGGTGCTGACACTGCCCAGGCTCTCCCAGGGAATGAGCACATTCCCAAGGCTGCCAGAGCTCCAGGAGTGTTTGAACAACACTCCCAGGGATGCCCAGGGTAGGATTTTGGGGTGTCTGTGCAGAGCCAGAAGATGGATCCATGATCCCATGGATCCCTTCCAGCTCAGCAGATTCCACTGAGGAGCTGTGCTGGTTCTCTCTGAGCAAAATCACAGCTCAACTTCATCTGCTTCCCCTTTTCTTACAGCACTGCCAAGGGGAAGGGAACATGTGCTGCTTCTTCTCCCAAAAATCCTGAAAAATGAGACTTCTTCCAAAAATTTTCAGTCTGCTCTGAGAGTAGACACACTTGGAAAAGACGCTAATTGCCAGCAAATTGGAATTTATTCTTCTAAGCGCTCCCCAGTCTGGCCTTATTTCCAGTGACAGCTGTCCCCTGAAGTGCTGACATCTCAGCACCTACAAAAACCTGCTCCAAACTGCCTCTGCCTCCATTTGCAAAGGTTTCCCCTCCCAGTCCCTGCTCCTGCGGCCACCAGAGGCTGCTGTGACATCTCCAAAGGCTGGAACCCGCAGCACCACAGGGACAGCAGGGACTGTGTCCTCTGCAGCAGGACAGGCTGGAGCTCCTGCTGACCTGAGAGAGCCTTGGCAGGACATCAACAAAAAAAGTGACCTAAAAGTAACAAAAAGGTATTGCAAGGGATTTTCATACCTCTCAAAAATGAACTCGGCCAGTTTTAACCACTGCTGGTTTTTATGTGGTTTTAAATAGACAAAGGTGGCATTAACACCACCAAGGAGATTTTCCAGGCCATGGAAAGCTTCCATCGCTGCCATTTAGCAATGACCATACAAATATTTTCTCTGAAATCAGCGTTTTGTCCTCCTACAAATGTGACAAAGTGAGCAGCCACCTCCTCTACTGTATCCCCAAACCCAAGAGCCACACAAAGGCAAACCTCAAAGCAGGGCTGACCAAAATTTGCACCAAATTTCTGATATTGGCCACCTCAGAAGCCAAAATTTTCATATTCTGGGAATTCTGAGTCATGCCAGCTAAGGAAAGGAGTTGGGCTACGTGTTTATTGTTTTGGGGGGAATTCAGACCCCCCATTAATCAATTCAGTGACTCCCGGATGGGCTCCCAAAAACTGAGCTGGGAATAACTGTGGGAATTGTGAGCCCAGCCACACCAAGAGCTCTGCAGTGTCTTCCTGTGTGCTCAGCCAGGATTTACAGGGAATGTCCTGGGAGAGGGACTGCTGGATCCACACATTCCACATCTACTGCTGCTCCCAGGGCTGGAGCCCGGCTGGGAGAGCTGGAAATGTTCCCCTGGAGAAGGGAAGGATCCAGGGAGAGCTGGGAATGTTCCTCTGGAGAAGGGAAGGATCCAGGGAGAGCTGGGAATGTTCCCCTGGAGAAGGGAAGGATCCAGGGAGAGCTGGGAATGTTCCCCTGGAGAAGGGAAGGATCCAGGGAGAGCTCAGAGCCCCTTGCAGGGCCTGAAGGGGCTCCAGGAGAGCTGGAGAGGGACTGGGGACAAGGGATGGAGGGACAGGAGCCAGGGAATGGCTCCCAGTGCCAGAGGGCAGGGATGGATGGGATATTG